AGAAAGTCACCTTCATACAACGCGCATACAGTAAACCCAAGTGTTGTTCACTCTGGTGCGCATTAAATAATAAAAAACAATGTATTGACATGCGTAATGTTTTGCTCCGTGCACGTTTGTAAGATGAATGCAAGTGCACCAGGGTTCGATAGAATCTGTGAAACCAGACCAATGCTGAAACAATCGCAAAATCTACAACAATGAGTTATCTCAGCTGAGACTCTCATTGTCCTAGATCTCGTGTACCATCTGCATGTTAGCCTTGCATCTCACAGTGACTCGTACTATCACAGCTGCAAAATCTTTAAAGGCAGGGTAGGACGATTTGTTCCAGAAACATTTTTTGTTATGCTGGTTGAAAGTCTCTTCACATCCTGAGAGCAATCACTAAATTAAGTGGTCTAAATGTATTTATATATATATATTAGGGGTGGAACGGTACACAGAAGTCACGGTTCGGTTCATACCTCGGTTCAGACATCACGGTTCGGTACGATTTCGGTACAATGGAGGGAAAAGCAAAACAAAAATGCAGAAGGCATTGTATTTTTTAAATAAGTTTTATTAATAAAGGCATAGAACCAGTTTGTTTGTAGTGCACTGAAAATAGTTTTATATAATTAGTTTATTAATTAAATTAATAAAAAGACAAAAAGACCTTGCGATGTGTTTGGTAATTGTACCTGAATTAATTTAAAATTATTTAGCTATATTTCAGATCAATATATTTGTTTTCCTTAATTTCAATTAACATTATTAATTAACAATGTAACATTATTCTCATCTGAATTATAAATAATTGATTTCTGTATAAAATAATACTACCATTAAAAACACATTCGATTTTCTTTTTTAATCAATGTAGAATGTGTAAGATTAGTGCTCCGAGGACAAGAAATGAAAACCAATGCAATATGATGAATTTCCAAAAGATATCGGACCCACAGACTGTTTTGAAATGGAGTTGGATAAATATGTTTTGCTTTTAAAACTGTGTGTGTGTGTGTGTGTGTGATTTTGGTTGGGTGACAGTTGTAGGTTACAGTTTGACAAGAGTTTACAGTGTGACAAAACCACAATGTTGTGTTTTATTGCGAGTGTACACAAATATAAGTAAACACTTTGCAGGTTTAATGATCTGTATCAGCAAAATGACGGAGTATGTTTTTTATGGGTCCACTGTTCGATCGCGTCTCTCTCTCTCTCTCTCTCTCTCTCTCTCTCTCTCTCTCTCTCTCTCTCTCTCTCTCTCTCTCTCTCTCTCTCTCTCTCTCTCTCTCTCTCTCTCTCTCTCTCTCTCTCTCTCACACACACACACACAGTTCAATCGCGGCCGCGCCTATCTCTCTCTTATTCGCGCACACACAAACACTCCAGCATTGCAATCTTGACATCGCAGCCTGTTCATTATGCGGTCACACCAAACGCGAATAGAGCGTCAAATTAGGGAATAGGACGCGCGTCTAAATTAAGCCAACATTTGAAGTGAACGCGCGTTCAGAGCTAAGCCGATGGTACAGATTATGTGTCCCTAAAGAACCCGCGTATCTAACAGTAGTTCCGCATTACATTAATTAATTTGCATGCGGGTTTTATTTACTTTTATACCGTGTATTCTCCGTGTAAATTCGTGCACCGAACCGTGACGCCCGTACCGTTTCGGTTCAATACGAATACCTGTACCGTTCCACCCCTAATATATTGTCTGTGGAAGGCGTAGGACCATAAAATATTTGTCCAATCATTGAATTCAGTCCGAATGCACGAATTGTTATGTGCTTTGAGACATGAGGTAATTAGACGCAGCCTCTCGTCATCTCTTTTGTTTGCTCTCTGCTGTATGCGTTCATGTGTTTTGAAGGAGCCGTGGCTTTGGAGACACTCTGAAGGGAGGATGGGATCGCATGCTTTCAAAGCTAGCTCGCTTTCGCTAGCCTCTCTGAAAATTGCCTACCCTACCTTTAACAGTAAGTATTTGACTGAACTACAGAGTAAGGGTTGTAACACTCCGATAAGCTATGACTTATTTGTTTGCACATCACATAGCTACATTACATAAATAATATAGGTTAAAACATCAGTTATACTTCCTCCGTAGTTATTTAGAAAGAGCCAGACAGAGAGAGATTTAGAATTCAGCAGGATGTTTTCACAGGATTTTGAAATTGATCCCTCGGGGGTTTGATGGATGAGAGTCCATAATGCCAGGCCCTGTTGCATAATTCAAATGTTCCTACTCCATAATCCCCAAACGCCTTTTACACTGTCAGCTAAAAATAGACCAAACAAACAGAGGGTGGCATTCAAAATTGACCTGGTTCCATAAGCGATGTACTGCCAGCCAGAGCTTTTAAACCGTCATATACTCACGTGCTCTACATGCTCTGAAGCTGTTTGGTTGCAAAACGAGGCAAAATGGACTGAATGTGCCGAGCAGCCGTTTAGATGAGAACACAAGACGATGATGCTCGAGCCTGGGAGGCAGATGGATCAGGCTGAGTGATATAATACTGACATATTTAGACGCATTACGAGAAACCGCATGGCACTCTTATGGATAAAAAAAAGTCTCTCAGATGGATTGTTTAGTTTAAAACAGCTGTGAAAGTGACTGACAGTAACGATGTTGTGTTTTCGGCTTGATTTTGGAAAGATCCAGTTCTGCAGATAAAGGCTGATGGATTCAAAGCAATTCTTAGCTGATGGCTGGGATTGTCTAGTATTCCTGGAAATCGGCAGACAGCATAAATGCAGCCAGTGTCGTTTATAAAAGGTTATTGACATGAGCCTGTTGATATGGATTTGATAGAGAGGAATGATATTCATGAGGCAAGAGTCAATGATGGTAAGAGCAAATCTGCAGAAAGCTCTCTCTCTCTGGTCTCTTCTGTTGTAGCGTCTTCTTGCTCTTTCTACACTACAGAAATCATATTCTTAATTAGCATTTTGACTTATTTTGTAGTTAAAATCTTGAAAAAAATATATATACTTGAGAAGCAACAGCATATTAAGATTTGTTTTCAAGTGTATTTTTGTCTTACTTAGAGGGATACTCCACCCAAAAATGAAAATTCTGTCACCATTTACTCACCCTCCAGTTGTTGCAAACCTGTATGAGTTTCTTTCTTCTGCTGAACACCAAATAGTTGTTTGGCACCATTGACTTCCATAGTAGAAAAAATGGAAGTCAATGGTGCCAAAGTTCCAGTCGTTCTTCAAAATATCTTCCTTTGTGTTCAGCAGAAGAAAGAAACTCATACAGGTTTGCAACAACTTGAGGGTGAGTAAATGATGACAGAATTTTCATTTTTAGGTGGAGTATCCCTTTAATATTTTTTTTTATATGTGTAAACAAGTTAAAAATATGGGAAACATCTGCCAGTGAACTGAGAAAAAATAAACACTTATATTCAAGATACAATCTATCATAAAGTTAGCATGAAATGAAAATCCATAAATTTTCTAAATGTTATTCACCATAATTGTGAATGATTCATCCATCCATGCATGTGTTTTATTAATTTATTTAATTGTTGACCTTGTAATTAATTTTTTTAATAATTTCCGGTGAAACAACAGACTTCTCTTTGGTGATGTATGCTGGACTTCTCCAATCATTTAGTCCTTCAGAAAATTTGGACTAAACCGCTCAATTTATATGGATTAATTTTGCGATCTGTTTATGAACTTTTTGAAGCGTCAAAGTAGTAGTTGCTTAGCTGTCAATGGAGGGACAGAAAGCTCTCAGATTTCATTAAAAAGATCTTCATTTGTGTTCTGAAGATGAACAAACGTCTTACGGGTTTGGAACGACACGAGGGTGAGTAATTAATGACAGAACTTACATTTTTGGGTGAACTAACCCTTTAAAGCCTTGATGTACCATACACTAGCCAAAATTATATGTCCTACTTTACAATAAGTAATCCATTAGATTTCATGAGCTTACAATAAACAGCAATATTTTACATTATTCATTAATCAAGCGTAATGTTAATTTATAAATTCCTCTGTATTGTTCCTTGTTAATTCACGTTTATGCAAAATATATGAATGTTAATGTAAAAAAATGTATATGTAGAAAATAACATGAACTAAGATTAATAAATGCTTTAAAAAATATAGTTTGATACACTATTACATTAACTAATATTAACATAGAGAACCTTACTATAAAGCGTTTCTTGAATTTCTTGGTTTATTGGACAATACCATAATGGTGATTCTATGAAATTATCGTTTCATATCATAGTTCCACCACAGTGTTTTTTGTAAGAGTAAAGTAGTGGTGGACAATGGAAAGACAAAGGACAAAGATGATTATAGAGTTACATAACGTTATGGAAGAACAGTATCCATTTGTAACTTAATACATGATGCTATAAAAAATTCCACAGAAAATGTATGGTAGCTCGTTAATTGGGAACTGGAGATACACATTAACAGGAAAGAGACACTGAAAAAGGTCACCCAGAGGTGCTTCGTAAAGTGCTTATTTACTCCGAGATGGCTGAGCTGTTCCCAGGAGAGCAAGGGCACTCACAGGCCCACTGTATGGAAGTGTGTGTGGTCCATACCAAACACAGCCCCCTGTCTGCATTGTCAAACACCCAGATAAACAGAAGCATCTATACGGCAGCTTTAATCAAAACACATTACAGCTCCACAAGCACTGACTACAGTAACTGCTCATCGGGGCACAGCAGGAGTCACACACACACACACACACACGCACACACACACCCTTGAAGGTCGGCTGAAGAACGCGCATTGATTAGGAGCAGGATGGTGAACGTACAGTAATCACCTGCACTGCAGTGAAGGGGACAATTTAAGACAAGGGACCACCGAGTGAGTAATGGATGTGCTTGATTTGAGAGGATAAGGATTTGTATATCTCAGCATGCAAGGCTGTTCAGGTGTAGACCTTTCATACTAGCACATGATGCACAGAGATAATGATGCCTTAAAACAAAGATTGAGAGCGAGTTGTGACTGACCTGGGCCAAGCTTGGCAACTGCATACAGCAGGTCGTAGTTAATAACCGGTGTGGTCTCGTCAATCTGTTGCCAGCCGACTGGAGGTGAGCCAGGAGGGGAGATGAGGAACTGTTTCGAAGGCTGGGGAGGAGCCAGGTGCAAATTGTCTCCTTCGGATGCTGGTTTCTGCACCTGAGAGCCAGAGAGTGTGTTAGTCCAGTCAGGATTCAGTCGAACAAAGACCTGACTGGAACATTTGATGGAGAGATCTAACCAGATGTTTCTCAAGTAGCTATTCACAAATATGTGCTATATGTTTAAAATCTGAGAACATTATGCAAGAACAGATCTATCTATCTATCTATCTATCTATCTATCTATCTATCTATCTATCTATCTATCTATCTATCTATCTATCTATCTATCTATCTATCTATCTATCTATCTATCTATCTATCTATCTATCTATCTATCGTTTTATCTGTTGCTCTATGGTTCTCTATCTATCTATCTATCTATCTATCTATCTATCTATCTATCTATCTATCTATCTATCTATCTATCTATCTATCTATCGTTTTATCTGTTGCTCTATGGTTCTCTATCTATCTATCTATCTATCTATCTATCTATCTATCTATCTATCTATCTATCTATCTATCTATCTATCTATCTATCTATCTATCTATCTATCTATCTATCGTTAGTCCTATTGTTTTATCTGTTGCTCTATGGTTATATATCTACAGTATCTATCTATCTATCTATCTATCTATCTATCTATCTATCTATCTATCTATCTATCTATCTATCTATCTATCTATCTATCTATCTATCTATCTATCTATCTATCTATCTATCTATCGATTGTTCTCTTTTTCTATTGTCCTATTTATCTATAAATGTTCAGACATGGCATTGTAAAAATGTGTATAGTCTTTTCTAATGCGTTTGGTGCCACTAGTGGCAGAGAAATGACACACTATACTTTGCTTAATCAGCTCAGACTTAGGCAGAAACAACATGATATCACTTGTCAAATGCTTAGTTTGTCTTTTGTGTTGTTGTGTTATATGTAACTAACTACCACTTCTCACCTGGGCAAAGTAGAGTTTGAGTTTCTTTCCTCTGAAAGGTGTCTCGTGCAGCTCTATTCTAGCGCTGGCTGCTGCTTTGGGGTTACTGAAATTGATCCGTACACGTCGGAAGCTCTTAAACTGCTGGAACGTCACACCCTCATCGTACGCAAGGAAGAGCGCCTCGAACATTTCCTGAAAGACAAAAAATAAACAAGGTTTATTAACAAGAGATGAATATTTCAATTCTGTTTACTGGCAAATGTCAAAACATGAATAATTCATGTCTTAACAGAGGACAGAGAAAGTTGAGCAGGAATGCTTCTTTACTGTGCCAGAAACAAGCAAGAGCTGTTCCACCAATATCAATCTCATCAGGGCCACGATAGAATGATTGCGAATAATGTCAGCATATCGCTGACAGGATGAACGTCATAGTATTCTTTATGAGACAGAGCAGTTTTTGGAACTAGGCCCGCCTCGCAAAACATCCAATCAGCTCAGCCAGAACTGGACCCTGTTGGAGAGACAGATTGGCTGAATCTGTTATGACACTTTATATTCATTTCCTGGGCAGGAGAGGAACTGATGAAAGCAATTCTATCTGCAGTTTGTCTCTCAGTTTAGTAATCAGTCCTGCTGGGCCTGAGCAGCCTTCAGCACTCTCAGCCTAATGTGTTAAAGAGAGGATTTTCCCAAATCAAATGTATTCTAACCTTCACCATGAGGACTTAAAGGGATAGTGGCCTTTAAAGGGATAGTTTAAAGCTTTTTTAATAGCTTACTAAATAAGTAAAAACATGCTGTTATGAAACTCCTTTAGGGTAGCATCTGAAACAGGATTGCTGGAATAGAAACACCTTAGACCGATTAGTATTTTCCAAAAGAACGCCATCAAATGTGCGTAGGCTATCACATTCCTGATTTGATTGTTCAGCTTAGTGAGGTATTTAATTGCATTATTTTCAGAGACCTGTAAAAAATGGTTAATGTCTCAGTGTTGGGTTTGCTTTGCCTTTTAAAGGCATTGCACATAAGCACTTGGAAGTGAGGCTAATGTGTACACCAAAAATAGGTATTCAACATGAAACCCCTCAAATATGCCCTAAACTTCTAGCCAACCGCTGGTGAAACACTTCAGTGTGATGACAAACAATAATCTAAAATGAGAAACTTTTATACCTAACATGGCATGGGAAAGTAGATATGAAACATAATGTGAGGCCCAAGAGACAAGCTTTGTATCAAAAAATAATTTCAGTTAGAGTGGATGGTGAAACACAGTAAACTGTGGATGGTGTGATGTAAGTTAATAATTGTAGAATTTAAGGGTTGTGACTAAAAAAGCTAAAGTTCCTGGTTTGATCCCCATATTGTGTCCTTGAGGACAGTTAAGGGTCTCATACTTCCTGCTGGCTGAATCATACAACCCTTCAGGTGTGAATAGTTTATACTTAAAACCCTGCATGCAAATCAAATTGATTTTAACTTGAGTTTGAGACTCCTGTTTTAAGGGATTGTTCTGTGATAAGTGTACAATTTGTTGCTTTTGATAAAAATGTCTTCTAAATGCCTATTTACTATCAGTCACTAGAGACTCTGCTCAATTCTTCCCAACACATAGAATCTAAACATGTCATTTTTAGCATCAGGAAATAGTGAATGTGCTCGATAAAAATGTCCAGAGACAGGGGAAGATGAAGGATTCGAGCTGCTCGCTGGTTCTCCTGCAGAAACAGATGGATAGCTGAGCCAGTTCTCTTCCACAGCGTCAATTCGCCAAACACCTTGTATCCTGTCACAATCTGTGAAAAACCTCCAGCATATTCCTTCATGTCAGTGCCAAAAGTGAACGTCCCCGGAGATGACAGCTGTGGATGTGTCGTGTCCACCGTGTGCCAGGACGTGAGGTGTGTATCAGCAGTGACAGCTGGGCCGATTCTGAATGACTCAGCGATGACAGGTGACACCAGAACAGTCCATTGCGTTCGGTATGTGCACATTTTCTATACTCCAGGTTTCTGACTCAGCACTTCCCTGAAGTTTTGCAAGATGTCAAGTGTATCCAGAGCGAATTATGTAACCAGAACTTGATGGTGTGTGAAATGCAGATCAAAGCACATTCGTCTGATCCACTGCACCTTGAAATGAGATCATTCACTAACGTCACAGCACTACTGGTCATCAGCATATGTTGTGTTGTGGATGCTGGTGTCCCTATCAGGCATCTTAACTAGCTTTATTAGCCCCCCTTGGTCAAACAGCTTCATGCTGGTCATTTTATCATCCGAATTTGGTAACGCTTTCTTTTACAGTACAGTACTTACGTGTACTTACAGTGTATTTACCTAGAAAGTACTGAATAATATAAGGTAAGTACATGGGTAAGGGGTAGGTTCAGGGTTAGTACCTAGTTATTACCCAGTAATTGTAATTACTATAATAAGTACCTAGTATGTACATGGGTAACATTATTTCTAGGTTGTTACTGGCGGTTGCTAATTGGCTTATAGTCAAAATAGCGAATTACTGATATTCTGGTCCTTATTTTTCAAGTCAAAGTCGAAAAACAAAAAAATTTCTGCTTAGAAAAGTAAAAACAGGTTGGGCTGCGTTTCCCAAAAGCATTGTAAGCTTAAGTTGATCGTAGAACAATTGCCACCCATGGTCTCTATGATCAACTTACAGTAGGCTTACGATGCTTTTGGGAAACGCAGCCCTGCGCAATTGGAGTTATCATTCATGTCCATAGCACAAACAGTGTAGTAAGATTTACAAGCCAAAGGTTAACACTTAGGGTTGATAAAAACACTAACCCCAGGTATGAACAATAGTAGTGATTATTATCTATCTATAAATTACAGAAACATCTGTGTGTCTGTTTTCGCATATCTCTCGAAGCGTTAGTCCGATGGATTTCAAACTTGACAGGTGTCTTGCTACGGGCAAGTAAGTGCAGTGCCGAGTTTGACGTTGTTTGGATTAGAAATGCAAAAGATATCGTTAAATATATTGGTAAAAGAAGCACTTAGAAGGTTGTGGTTTGAAAATAAACATTCTGACATAAACACTCAGCTAAATGTCAGCTAAACATTACTGTTTACTTCTGAATATTATATTTTATTCACGGCCATCATTTGTAGTAGCGCGTAGCGTTTTTGTGGAGTTCACTGTGTACCCTGCTCCCTGAATCGTGTAGTTCAATTTTCCACATTTATTGTATGTCATTATGTCAGTATCAGTATTTGCATTCTACCATCCACAAATAAAAATGTCACTGAACTTTTGCAGTGTAATTGTAACAATGAGCACTCAAACACACCAAACCAACAATTACCAAAAACACACACAAAAACTGATTTTGCACAGGCACTTTGCACTATTAACACCAAAAATATACAACATCTGGCCATCACAGCCATGTAATGTATTTAGAAAATAAACGGATGGAAACATAAATTTAAACATAAACATAAATAAATGGAAACACTGAGGTTATGAGTATCACTTTATGCCTAGATATGCCTAGTATGAGGCCAAATATACAAAGTAATAAACAAATAGATTTAATATTTTAAACAGATGGAGATAAATATAGCTGAAGTATGACTGTACATTATTACAAGGGGTTACATGGTGTTATGTTCCTTTTTGAGAGCCTTCCGCGGACATTTCAAAGCAAATTATTTGTAGTGGAAATAAATGACATTCCTTTACAAATATGGACACTGAGATGAAGGGAGGAGGATGCAGGGTTATGTGCAGTGGAATAATTTGCCACTGGCATTCTAAAAATATTACTCTATCTAATCATAAAAGGATCTGTGGAATGATATATTTCTATAATTACCATTTTTAAAACGGCAGAACTTTGGCGCATAGTGGATTTTCCACTCTCAGTAGATTGATCACACACACACACACACACACACACACACACACACACACACACACTCGCACATATGTATGTCCGACTAACTAGCTCATTTCATTTCATTTTAAATTGCATACTGAAGATTTTTTTTTTGACTGCAAATAGATTATATGTGCACAGACAAACATGCCATTGTTGCATTTCTTCATCATACTGTTTGTGTATCATCTAGGTTTCTTTCAAAACAAGATCCAATATTTAACTACTTGGTTGGTTGCAGGTAAAGTTGGCAAGACATAAAAGTGCAGAGAAAGACAGCAGACTGGCAGAAACATCTCAAATTCTCCATAGAAAATATCAGTGGTACTTCGTCTCCATTGAGAGCTGCATATGTGTTCTCCTCAACAGAATGGATAGAAATCTGCGTACAATGCTGTGCTTTTGGTTTGATCCTTGGCACAGATCTAACATCCCTCTCCTCTCCCCACTCTATATTTTTCTATTTTTGAACTCCAAGGAGCCTATTGGACATTAGCAAATCGACAGGTCTGCTCTTCATTTACCACCACCTTGAAACACATTTAAAAACAGCAACAGCAGTTGGCTTTAAGTGCCCTCATTTAAGGTGGTGGAAATGAACATTGATACCATCTGGTACTTGCTGGTATAAATGTCATGAGAATCAGACATAATGTTATCAAGACAAAGTCACTATGGCTATGAAGTTCTGACTACAAATACAATCCCCCGGTTTCACAGACAAGGCTTAAGCATAGTCCCAGAATAAAGTGCATGTTTTAGTTGTTTTAATTGAAAGCAACTTGCACTAATATCTTATAATATGTCACTGCCGTTGTTTTGTCTCAAGATGCACACAGCAGTAATGTGTTTCTAAGGCAAGTTTATAAAAACTACTTAAATGTCCTAATTGAACTAAGGCCTAATCCTTACTTAATCTAAACCCTGTCTGTGAAAACGGGCCGTAGATTATTATTATTATTTTTTTTTACATTTTATGACACTGAGAAATCAATGCATTGTATTTTTGCCAACTTGGGGTCAGATTAATAACAGCTTGCGCTAGCGCCAACCTCTTTTGGTGTTAAAAAACTACTGTCAGGATTCACTAAAGACATGCAGTGAAGAATTTGAGCTGAACAGGCATGGACAGTTATTTTTTATAGCTGACTTTTTTGCAATTTATGTGAGGAGCATATTTAAATGAATCATGGAAGGTGATTTTTGTCAATTTACAGGGGTTTTTTTCGCCATTATTTAACACCCCAAAATAAGCATGTCTTAAACCAGACGCTAATTTGCG